TGATAGTGATGATCCCCCACAATTTACTAATTAATTTTCAGAATTTTATCTACTTCTATCACGTATCACGAATTAAGAGTTATTTTGAGTTTTGTAATTTTGCGAAGTTTTTTTTTGTGGCACCAAAAAAAATCCGCAAAACCCCTAAAAAATCCTTATTAATGTAAATCATATGATGTGAGACACCCCAATAATTTATGCAAAATTATGCAAATGCATAAATCTGGTGTCTCTACCTGATCCGTTTATAAGGGGACTTCCTGACCTCTCTGCTGCCATTTTAATTGTGGCAGGATATATCTATCTAATGGCAGTGGCAGCAATGGTGACTTTCTGATTAGCTATAGAGAGGATTTGGATCTTCCTGGTTTAGTATAAAAAAAAGATATTAATAACACTATGCCTAAATTTTGTTTTAAATTATTTAATTGATGTAAAATTTTATACAGTATTTCCAATTTTATTTTACAAGTGTAAATTTATATAAAAATAAAAACAAAAATCATTCTTTAACAACAATGATTGTTAATTTTTAAAATTTCAACAAAAAGGGCACCCTTCTGTTAATTTATATTTGGCATCATAACACGGAACTCTATTTACATGCGCACAATCAGGATATTTTATATGTGTTTCAGTTCTGCAAAGTTGTGTACACCATGGTGAAGAACAAGACTCTTTACACTGATATTTTTAATATAATATAAATTTATTAATGACTTATTAGGGAGAAAAAAGAGAAATTTATTAATACTAATAAAAAATAACTAACCCGATGACCACATGACAATTTCTTTTCACATATTTCACTACATTCGTATTTACTCAAGTCTTGGCCAATATGACATTTAACTTCTTTTTGATGACCACATTGAGGATTTATAACTATTTTAGTTTCACACTTGCCACAAGTATCTTTACATTCTTTATCACATGGATGACCACAAGGAAATATACGAATACATTTTTCCTATTATATTGTGTGCACACACATATATATATATATATATTAAAAAATATTTTGATATCAAAATATAAAAATATTCATGTTTGTTTAATTTAAAATAGTTACATACTCGACATTTAAATTTATCATGAGAATAAGTATGACAATCCTTAGGACATAACTATCAAAAAATAGAATATATCTTAATTATTTCATTGCAATTATGATTTTTACTATTATTATGAATATTTTGTATTAAACTTACATGTCCACATTCCATGAACTCACCACACTTTTGTTTACAGCCTCCTTCTGATGGTATACTAGCCTCCCACTCAACATTAATTACCACCATTCCTGATGGACCAAGTTCTGGTTTTGAATGTTTCTGACAATATAAATCAATTGATTGATCACATAACCCCTTTTTTTCAAGTATCTTTATTATTTTTTTCCATAAATCAGAGTTCATTGATAGTTGTGTTGCGTTTCCAAATATGTACATTCCACGTTTTGCTCTAGAGAGTGCAACACAAACTAATGTAATCAAAAATTTAAATAAATATATAATTGGTAGCTGTTGTTTTATAAGGTTTTGATTTAAAAAGTTTATCAACTAACCTCTATTGCTGACACTTAAGAAACCTATATTACTATTTGATTCACGACTTCTTACAAGTGACAAAATTATCACATCATTCTCTTCGCCTTGGAAACCATCTACTGAGCTGACCCTTATACTTTTTATTTCATTTGAAAAGTATGTCATTTTTGCATTTGCATTCAAGTACTGTTGTATCAATTTTCTTTGACCAGAATACATACTTAAAATAGTTCTGTTTTTTTTTTAATAAAGTATGTTAAGGATTGTTAAAATGATTGATAATTGCTAATAAAAATAATAACCAAAGTTGTATGAATCTAACTACATTTTTGAACAATCAAATCCTCCATTAACAAGATAAACAGCAAGCTTAGCACTCATTTTAGCTTCAAACTCATTGATTCTACTTTTAGATTCTTTTACCATAGATTCCTCCTCTTGATGATCAAAAAAGAAGAGGTCCTCAAAAAAACCTGGTACATTATGGTATTCCAATACAGATGGATGGTCCTTTAGAACATCTCCATAAATAGGAGTCAAAAGTTCTCTAATTTCAGGTCTCATTCTACGTTGTTGGGTAAGTTTTGTAAAAGGTAATTCATTTTCTATTAGTCGTTCAAATAGAGAAACATTGAGACACTAAATGTAACAAAAAAAAATATAATAATAATCAATATATTATTTAGATTTATCAAAATCAAAATTAATAAACAGGTAAAATACAAACGTGATCTTCTGCAAGTTTATGGACAGCTGTATTTGGTCTAAGCTGCTTATGATCACTAAATTTAAATAAATATAATTATGTGGTGTATGTATTTTTAAGAATAAATTTAAAAAAATAAAAACCCCTTAAATAATATTTAATACACACCCAATTAAAATTAAATGTTCAGTTGCTGGTGTAAGTGCACTGACTATATGTGCTTCAAGTGTTTCGGCAGCTTCTTCAATAATAATAATTTTAGGTTTCAAATTAACGAGTAAATCATGGTATTTAGCCTTTAAAAAATAATCAAAAATATGATTTTTAATCATAATATATATATGTGTGTGTGTGTGTGTGTGCGAATAATAATAAAAATATACCGCAGCTGTGGTTGTCATACCAACAACTCTAGCACGTTTTAGGATTAGTAAATCTTCACGAATTCTCTCATTTTTAATTTTTTCTGAAATCTCAAGATATTCATTGCTCTTTTGTTTAAGTTCTACTATCACTTCTTTCAAATGTTCATTTCTCCAACGATTATGCATAGCAGCTCGAACATGGGCTGGGATTGCAAATAGATCATCAACAGATGAATATCTTTCCAATTCAGCATCACTCACTTGAGTGTTAGAACTAACATAACTTTCGCTTCTCAAGTTAACATATTTGCCATTTATTGTTTGATTACCATCGATACCTCGAAAATCTGCTTCAATATCTTTATAAGTCTCTTCATCTATCTCATCTTCTTCTTCATCAATTTTTTGTTGGCCTTCTTGAATTATCTGAGACACTTGAAAAGAAGCATCATTATGAGCTGCATGATGTGTAACTAAGGAGCTTTCTAACCATTCACGAAGATAATCACGATCATTATCATTTGTTGTCGAACTACTAGTCACCCAATCATCTTCCTCTAAACTAGAAATTTGTGCCGGAGTAAGAAGTTTCTTTTCTTTAACAAATTCCAAGGTAAGACATGGGCTGCCTATTTCCTTGCATAAATTTTCCATCCTAGATTCTAACTTGTGTTTTTCTTTAAATAATGCATTTATATCTGGATTTCTGGGTGATAATTCATCTGAAGCTTTAACATCTTGTCTAATATTGTATAAAGTACATGGTTTTATGTGTGTAGATGTAGATCTTGACCCTAAACGAACTATCTTAGACTCAAATTTCTGAATACCTATTTTTATCAAAGTATTAAATAATTAATTAAAACGTAAATATAAATAAATACTTGTATTAACTGTGAACAAAACAATTGATCAACCAAATATATTCACCTTCAAGGAATTGATCCAATGCATGATTTGTTTGACAAGAAACAACTATGGTTCCAGATAAATTTTCCAACAGAATCCTTACTGCAGCCAAACCAACATATGTCTTACCTGTACCAGGTGGTCCTTGAACCAAAGCTAATCTAGAAGTAAGCATCCGTTCTAATGCTTCATATTGAGACTTGTGTAGCCCACAATTTATTTTTTCTAAAGGAGGCCAAGATTCTAAAATATTAAACTAAAAGTAAACGAATGAATATAAATATAAATGTATTAATTTATAACAATAATAATTATAATAATATAAATTTACACTTGATTTTCCCAAGAACTTTTCAAGATTTTGGAATGTTGGTTCAGTTCCAAAATCATAAATTGGAGGAGCACGATTTTCAAGGTATTTTGGAAGCTCAATATTCTTATCAAGTTCAATGATGTGTGATTTCAAAGGCATATCTTCTGGATCAAGCTCTTGAATTACCTTTAAGACATGCCTATATGCTACAAACAATTTTTTGAAATTAATCGATATGTTTGTAAAATTAAGATTTTTTCAAGTATAAATCTTACCTTCAAAATATGAAGTTGTCGATTCAACCTAACAATAATACAATCAATATAAAGAAATAATAAAAAATAGTATTTAATAATTAATTATTTAATTTAATTTAATTTGAAATATAATGATGTCATTAAAAAAAGGAACCATTGTATAATTCTCATCCCAAACGAAATCAACATCTTCTGATCTGAAGAGCACATCAATTTGTAAATCATGAGGCTTTTTTAAATATTCCAGAGACCTGTTAACAACAGTTGCAAGTTTTATTGTCTTAAATTTATCTTTGGTCAAAACAACCAGTGTTCCAGGAATTAATCTTTTGCTCTGCTCCCTAAATTAAATATTTTATATAAATTTTAAATGAGGTAATTCTGTTATAAAGAAACAAAATATATGTGATAAAATCCCAATGTCAAAGAGAACCACATGTTAATTATATATATTCTGTATTATGACAATCATTGTAACATAATATATTTTCGTACAAAATGGTAGGTATACATATATATACACATATATATAATAGAAAATTTTACGAAAAAGAATAACAAACATACCAATAAATTCTTTCACCAGGTCTAGTTCTAAAAGAAATTCGATGTAAAACACCGATACTAGAAAAGGTCACACCAACAAGATTTACCTATTTAAATATAATAATATAAGTAAGAGAAGTAGAAGTAGGAGAAGAAGTAAAGGTCGAAGAAGAAAAGAATAGTTGAACTTATTAAAATATAAATCCACATAAATTTTTAACATACATCAACATAAATTCGTAAATTCATTTGATCAACTTTTTCATCATTCTTATCCTTTCTATAAATTCGAATACCCCGTCTTAAAGGTCTAAGAAAATCTTCTCTTAATAATTTATAATGAGTTTCCAGATATTCTTCAATGCTTTCATAGGAACTTTTGGTTTTATTGACAGGAATATCTTTTGGTTTACGACCTAATAGTTCCTCTTGCGTTGGAAGTATGGATATTGCACGAAAACCTTCTTTTGGTGGTTTATTAATCTCAAGAAGTTTGGGTAAAACGGGTCCTCTGATTCTTCTGTCTACTACATTTCTTTTATATTGACCTCTTGAATCTTTTTCTGACAAACTTTTTTCAACTGGATCCTGATATATTGAAGAAAATTCATTTTGAGCTGATCTATTATTTAATCTTTGATTAGAATCAACACCCCTTTTGTAATTTGTTTGCTTTGGTGATTGAGAAACTGTTGTAGAATTTGGCATTACGTGTCGATATCGACAATTATCACCAAATTGACAACTTCCAGGATTTCCATTAAATCCTCTGCAAGTTTTATCTTTATCTTGAGATTGTTTTTTACCATGTCCACGTTTCATCATTTTGAATTTTTTATATACAGAATTTTTTTGAAATTTTGTGCAGAGAAATATTACGGAAAAACTATATATTTATATATTTTATCGTCCAATCATATTTCTTGATCGACAGGTGAGAGATTAAACAAGCAAAGATTGAGAATTAAAAAAAAAAATTTTTATTAAATAATAATATAAATTAAATTAAAGATGATGATAGATGGCTATGATTGATTAATTGATTGATTTCATTTTTTAAAGAAATTGAAAAGGCATCATTTGATTTTAAATTTAAAATTATATTTAAATCATTTAAAGCCTCGGAATAATTTTTAGATTTAATGTATAATTTAACTCTAATTTTTAAAATATTTATATCATTTTGTTTCACATCCAAACATTTACTTAAAATCGTTATTAATTTGTTGATTTCTTCTGAATCTTTGATTTTTAAATAAAGAACTTCAACACGTATTAGGATCATGTTGATTAGATTTGGAATTATTCTCAAGGCCTTTTCGCAATCCAAAATTGATGCTTCGTTAATTCCTATTGTATAAAAAAGTTTTGCACGCTCGCACAGAATGAATAAATCATCACGACGATTTTTGTGTGATTTTAGTAATGTTAATGCGGCGTTGAAATCGACCATTGCTCTATTATTAAAACCTAATTTATTACATATTGCACCTCGATAACCGAGTGCATATATATTATGAGGATAATTGTCTAATGATCTATTTAAATCTCTTATAGCTTCAGTGTATCGTCCCATCCTATATAACAAAGCACCTTTGATAGATAGGATAATTGGATCGTCAAATGAATATTCCAAAGCCTTGACATGATTGATCAATGCTAATTCATTAAAATAATTATTATTATTAAGATGACGATCTTTTGATGATCTTAGTGTTCCTAATCTTCGATAAATTTCCCCGCGTAAATAAAATGCTTGTGAACGTTTAGGTTTAAGCTTTATCGCAATATCAATATCTAACAAAGCAGAAAAATAATTTTTATGTGATAATAAATTTATAAAAGCTCGAATGCATCTAATTGAATAGGTGTTTGGATAACATTTTAATAATCTTGTGCACCAATTCAGAGCTTCAGAATAATTGCAAGCACTTAAAGATTTATAAAGATTTTCTTGTGCGGGATGCTTTCTTTTTGGAAGTTTGAAAAATAAATAAACCCTTTTTAAATCTTTGTCAAACATATCTTGAATCAACTGGCTTTCGTCTGTTTCATTACTAGTAATAGTTTCTCGATTATCAAAATGATTTACGATGGTGTTATCAGTGGCAACAGCATTGTTATAGAAGTTGGGATTGTAGTTGTTAGTGTAAATAGATGGCGCCATTATCGTTGTATTTTCTAATGGAGGATCAAAGACTAACAAAGGTTCTTGATAAATATTTGTATAATAAGAAGAACACATTGACTTTGATTTTTTTGTGATTGGTAGAAAGGGTGTTGATGTAGTGCCTATGAGACCAGAGGCGATGAAATAAACATGGAAATAAGAAAATATATGATATTGAGGTATATATATACAATTTTCGTCTTGAATAATGTGACGACACTGAGGACATCGATATCTTGAGAATTTTTCGATGTTTTGAAATGTATCAATGCTGATTTTATGTTTACAACCTAAAATACACAAATCTTCTGATGGTTCCATTGTCACAGAGCAAGTAATTTCGTCAGCAATAATTTGTATTAAATTTTTATCATTTTTATTGATTATATTATTATTATTATCATTTTTATAGATTATATCACCATCATCACCATCGTCATCATCGTCATCACTTTCAAGATTGTTACTATTAATTGATAGGATCAAATTTTTTAAATTATCGAAAAACAATTCATTTAAATAATCATCATCATTTTGATATTCGTGTTGTTTGATAGATGATAAAAATTGCTTGAAATTTATAACAAAATCCCGATTCTTTATAAAATTATGTAGATGATCTTCTAGATCTTGTTCAATGTTATTACTAAATAATTTGGACCGCTTGAGAGAAAGTTTCAATAAGATTTCTGACGATTTAAGCTTTATTGATAAACTGCTCGTGTTATTTAATGATTCTTTAAGATAATAATAAATAATTGTTAAAGTTGATTTACGTTCACTAAAAGTTGTTATTAATTCTTGATCTATTAAATCCAAAATACCAAACCATAATAAATTCTTTTTCTTTTTGTTTATTCTGGAAGAACAACTAAAATAATTCATCATAGATGTTGTTCTAGAAGTCGTTGGTGAGAAAGTCCAAAGATTAAAATCAGTATACATCCAAATATATTCTAGCCATAACCTTTCACCAAATCTAAGTATACCGATATTTTCGGGTATACATGACAATCTTTTGATATAAAATCTTAATCCTACTAATAAATAATAATCTAAAAACCAACTAGAAACTTTTGTTTTGTTAAAATGTTTATTAGATTTTGTTCTTAATTCATTCCACGATAATCTCGTGTACGAATTTTGCAAATTCGTCACATTATTGTTGTTGTTGTTGTTGTTGTTGTTGTTGTTGTTGTTGTTGTTAATATTATTGCTACCAGTATTATTATGTTTTTTTATTGATTTCAATAAATTCTTTAGAAAATTTTCTATTTCTAAATTTACTCGAACAAATTGTAAGCCATTGCCATCACAATCACACTCGGAATCATCATTAGTATTATTAAAGATTTTTAATATATTATTCAAATAACTAAATAAAAATTTTAAATGATATTTTAAAAAAGTTTCACGAGTAAATTTAGTGGTGGTAGAAGGTGGAGAAGGTGGAGAAGAAGGGGAAGGAAAGGGGGAGTCGTGGTGGTGATAACTGTAAGAATTATTACGATTATAGCTATGATAAAAAGAATTAACGGGGAAAATGGGAATTGAAGACGAATCAGTTGGTGAAGATGAATCTGTTGAAAATAAGCTAACTTCATCAGCCCAAGAAATTTCTTTTAAAAAATCTTTATATTGTGATTTGAACTTTTGTACTTGTAAAAAAATTGTGTTGAAACAATTTTTTGTTTTTGTTTTCGTAGAGAAAGATGATGACACAAATAATGCAATTGAATCTTTATTGAAAATTATCGATTCTAATAAATTTATTAAAACACGAACACGTGATTCCAGTAATTCCAAGTCGAAATCTTTTGATGGTGGAATTGGTGCAGTTAACGTATCGATAATTCGAAATAATAAAGATTTTTTTTTCAATGTTAAAATCATCAATAATAACTTTTTATTATCTTCATCCAAAACATGTCTTCTCAGCATTTCATTGAATAGAAAGAGATTGGTTATATGCGAATCATTATTTCTCAAATTATTTATTTTCTCAATATAATAATCTTTAATAATTCTATGATATGGACTGCAGCAGATATTATTGAATAATTTTTGACAAGACAATAAACGAGTTTTTTGTTGATTCAACGAAGCAATCTTTTGGTTTTCCTTGTTGAGATTACGATTATGATTAATTTGTTGTTGATGATGTTGTCGATTATTTTGATTATTGTTGGTATTAGTAATAGAATTAGTATTATTAGTATTAGATGTGTTAAATTTTTGTTGATTTTGTAAGTCGACTTGAAATTTTGATGAATTTTCAATATTTTTGTTATTACTCATGTTGATTTGTTATTTTCGTTATTTCCCTAACGATTGATTATATTGGGTGTTTTATTATAATTATTTATTTTTCCAAAAAAAAAAATTATTTTTATTTATATAAAAAAAACATTACAAACGACAAATGATAATAAATAAATAATTAAAACGTAATATTTATTTGATTAGAAATTTTGAAAATGACGTTAAAAATTTTTTTACAATAAAGTGGACACAGTGAACATGACGTAAGGTTCTACAACCAGAATAATGTTATTAGTATTAGTATTAGTGTTAGCATCATTTGGTATTAGTCCGTAAAGGCGTTAAAATCCTAATTTAGTAATAATTGTGTTGACTTAACATATTGATATTAATATGACTAAATAGTTTAGTCAGTTTAGCCAAGTGCCCTGGTATTAGTATTAGTATTAGAATAATATTGCAGATCACGTTACACTTCGGGTAAAATTCCCAAAATCAAAAATCAATGTATCTTTAGAACTATCTTTTCAATAGTGCCACCACCAACACTATAAATTTTTCTTGACACCGCGATAGTAATAAAAAAAATAGCGATACATTGACTTAAATTTATAAAGCATTAAATAAATAAAATGCATCGCCTAATGAAAATGTCTTGACAAGTGGAAATAAGTCCTTGATGTTTTTGTTGAATCTTAATCCCAAGCCTCCTTCCCGTGTTTATCCAAGTGATAATGGATAATGGGAAAGTTTTTGATGGTCAAGTGAGTCTATTTCCTTTTCTGGAGCTTAAAAACCAATTCCCATATTAAGTCTGATATGTAATAGTAATTTCACGGGGAAACCAAAGATATCTGCTTATCACGGTGGAGCTGTGATAATAATGAGATCGACGCTGATCGTGGAATAAAGTCAGTTATTCCACGATTTCCTAATTAATTAACACTATAATAATAAATTCAAACGTGGAATAATTTGATATTTTATGGATTGAAAATATTGAGCTTGTTATACTGCAAACGATTGTTGTATTATGAGATTAATTTTTCATACATAAGAAGATCTCACTATAAATCCTGGATCCTTTACATCTCTTTTTCCTTGCCGCGATTTTTTTTTTTGAACTTGATTCCACAATTTCAGTAATGTTTTTGGAATAATTTCTGGGATTTTGAGTTCTTTATTAACGTAAGAATAAAACAAATTTAATTTCGTGCAATGTTTTTTTCGTTTAAAAAGAGAAATTTTTTAAACAAGGAAGTTTATGTGTATTTTTCACCCAATCCATGGATCTGAGGTAGGATTATATATTAATAATATCCTGTCTCAAATATTAAGGATCAACCTACAAAGTTCCACCACCATTATCAAACAAAATCTGGGTCCCTCAAAGATCATATATTAACCATCAGAACTAAAGATGGGAACCGCAATTAGCCGCAATTCAATTTTCATATCAATATGCCGCAACCGCAATTCAATTTTTACGTGTCGCAATTAGTTGCAACTAGTCGCAATTAATTGAGGAGCTATATTTAGTCTCATATACTAAATAAAATATTACATATAATCGGTGTTATTAAACATTAATATATCAACACAAGCAGTAGTTTCAGGAATCAAAACTTCGATCATGAGATACTCAAAAAAAAACACAACTTGTATGTTGCGTAAAGATCTTCTGGGAGTATAATATAACTTGAATACATGTGCCTCAATCCTGAATAAAAAGATTTTGATCGAACTTTAATTTTGTGTCATTCTTGAAAAAGTGCGTTCCACACTTTAGCCCTAAATTACCAAGTAAAATTTTCTCTGCGGGTAAAAAAATAACTCGAATACGTGTGTTTTAAACTCAGTCAATAGATTTTGTTTGAACCCGTCATGATCTTTTTTATGCATTAAATAGAAATCCAATTTGCAAATCAGGTCACGTTAAAATTCGATTATCTGGAACTAAAGAAAAAAGTAAAGCCTAAAATTCAACAAATCGGATTGAGCCAGATCAGCCAATAAGCATAAGTTTATTTATTGTACTTTAGGGATATTGAGTAAAATCATGATCACATTATTGGACTGGTTACGACTGGTCACTAAAATTTTTGATCCCCAAAATTTCCTTGTGACATAATGTTCAAGTAAGAAATTTATATCAGTCGCAGGACATTGCGGATCTACAGGGGGTCAAGTACAAGTGTGTCTAATAAAATTTTTTTGATCAACACGGAATTTTATATGAAAAAATGAAGAAAAAAATCACGCTTTCATACACAAACTTGCCAATTGTTACTTGAATCATAAAAATAACAAATATATGAAAAAACCTTTATTTTGATGTATTTTTTGCCAGGGTAAACAAATACCACTAAGCGGTAATCTTAACATGAAGTTTGACTTACCAGTTCTATAAGTTTCTATAATAATAATAATAAATTAAGGAATTGGATAACATGCACAATTTCACTTTGGGCTTAATTTTTTTTACATAATAACAATAAATGCAATAGTTAAGTTCTAATTTCTAATAATAATAAACATTTTACCCAATAATATTAATATATTAATATACATTGCTGGATGAAATAGAAACAAAATTTATATTTATTTAATATTTTCAAACAAAAACAAATTTGCATAACAGACACTCTTTTCAAGAATGGCTACTGTAAAGTCTGGAAAGATAGCATCCCCTTTTTGCATATGTGTAACATTTTTTTTATATTGACGCTCAATTGTTTTAAAGTAGGGGGTGCTATCTTTCCAGACTTTATGGTATTAATAAAATGGAATTAATTTGGTTTTTTAATATTTTTAAAGGTTAGCTTCATTAATTTTTATTTCATCTAATTTTTTATATATATTTAGAAGTATAATGATTAAATTAAAAAGTATTTATTTATTAATGCATTAGCAGGATCTGATGGAGATGTTATTAATATGTAATATATATAGGTTAAAAGAAAAGAAAATTTTATTAATGATTATTAATGGTTTTATTTATACATTTATATATTAATGTAAATAA